TAAAGATGGTATAAAGAGGCTAACCAGGAACACACGTGAAACATAAAGATGGTATAAAGAGGCTAATCAGGAATATTTATACTTTGTCGTAAGATCTTCGTGATTTGTCGACCCTGTTCATTATTAGCTGTAGTAAGTTGAAAATACCGTTCGAAGGACGAGGCTACTTAACATTCACACCGCATCTTCCATTGGTTGTAGGCAGCAGGAGAGCGTGGCGATGGCCGGGACTTTGGTGACCTCCCGGGCTGTGATTGGTCAAGGTCGTATAGTCTCGGCGTTCAATTTTGTGAAATCGACGAAAGTTGAAGTTAGCGGATACATTACATCCTTCAACACGTAGACCAATAAAGAATGAATAGGTGGCAGCAGCGTCGTAAGGGAACGCTGGTTTATTGTCCTAACACAGGTGGTGGGGGGTGAAGACGAGAAATTCCTCCCTTGCTGCTATCTATAAATGATACGATCTAGTGATTGTGGTGAATCCGGTTGCTGCAGGGAAAATGCCTACATACTTTTCTTTCCCTGTTCTCTCACTCTGAACAGGTAAAGCTTGTGTATAGAAAGGGATGAATGTTTCCACACGGCACTCTCACTTTTCAAGTAACTTAATTTGTGTTCTATATTTTATGACGTTTTAGTAGACTATAAACAAATTTTCACGGAATCAACCTGCTTTCGGTATTTAACCGATTAGCGTTTTCTTTATGCTGTATTTTTTTTTATTGTATTTTAGATTTTTCGTAGACTGAATATTTTTACACTTTTGTTGTGCATGCGTGTAAGGACTTGGAAGGTTCTGTTTTATAAATATCACTTTATAAAGTTGTATATATGGACATGGTGACGAGAAAAACAAAGATCTTGCAATGTTAGGAATTCAGAGTTATAAATCGCGCTTTAAATTACAGGAAAAATCATTTTTTATATCTGTGTAACGACTTTAGCAATAATTAAATATTGTTACAAACAAACACCAAGACTCAACCCCCTGTGTTTGATCTGTTACAACTTAATATAATATCCTGTTTACAAGACTTAAACTCATGTCCTTATTGTGTTTGTACTGTACAACTTAATATCCTGTTTACAAGACTTAAACTCGTGTCTTTATTGTGTTTGTACTGTTACAACTTAATATCCTGTTTACAAGACTTAAACTCATGTCTTTATTGTGTTTGTACTGTTACAACTTAATATCCTGTTTACAAGACTTAAACTCATGTCTTTATTGTGTTTGTACTGTTACAACTTAATATCCTGTTTACAAGACTTAAACTCATGTCTTTATTGTGTTTGTACTGTTACAACTTAATATCCTGTTTACAAGACTTAAACTCATGTCTTTATTGTGTTTGTACTGTTACAACATAATATCCTGTTTACAAGACTTAATTCATGTCTTTATTGTGTTTGTACTGTTACAACTTAATATCCTGTTTACAAGACTTAAACTCATGTCTTTATTGTGTTTGTACTGTTACAACTTAATATCCTGTTTACAAGACTTAAACTCGTGTCTTTATTATATTTGTACTGTTACAACTTAATATCCTGTTTACAAGACTTAAACTCGTGTCTTTATTGTGTTTGTACTGTTACAAGTTAATACCCTGTGTACAAGGTTTAACGCGTGTGATTATTATGTTAATATGTTCACTAAAGCAGTATTAATGACGTGAACTGTATTGTTACGACGAATCTGGCGTTTTTACATCTCCATGGATATTTTTGAGAGACAAAACTTAAAACATGGCGCCTATAGCTAATGCATAAAATAGTACCGCAGAACTACCATTTAAATTAAAAGAACTTTGACCCTTATGCGGTGCCTAGTGTTTAGCCTGTCGAATGGTCGGGGGCTGGAGACGTGAACATTTCTGCCCGGCTGTGGACGTCCTATAAAAGTGACAATCAATGCAGTTCAAAGAACCGGGCAAAGCGTTTGTGGCGGCGAGTGCTGCTGGCTGCCTAACCTCTGGTGAGCATTTTAAAGATTAGAAATGTCTGTAACTGAGCTCGAGGGGTATTTATCGTGGTCGTGAGATGCCGTTCAGGCTGAAAACTTCAATTCCATGTGTTATCTTTCCTTGTCAGTGTAGAAATAACCGGATATTCACGAATTGTCGGCTTGGTTTGTTACACACAGTAATTAGATTGTACCAAAATGGCTTATTCTGGTTCTCAAGAACTGAATGGTACGGCTTTAGAAACACAGCTGTTTTGATGCTCTTTAATTAATTAATTTTTCCTAGGTTCTCAAGAACTGATTGGTACGGCTTTAGAAACACAGCTGTTTTGATGCTCTGTAATGAATTAATTTTTTCCTAGGTTCTCAAGAACTGATTGGTACGGCTTAAGAAACACAGCTGTTTTGATGCTCTTTAGTTAATCAATATTTTCCTAGGTCTGATCAGATATTTTGAAGTTCTGTTCGTAAATGTATGGTGTTTCCTTCACAGCAGTGTATAAACGTAAATTGTTACTCAATCTTCATCACTCAGTAGTATACACGGGCAGCCAAAGTCGTCAAAAATATGAACACACACACACACAAATAACAAACGTGGATCACGTGACCTATTCCAGAAACGGAAGTTTACTTTAGAATCACTTTATTTCTGAATGAAGTTATATATTACCAAGTAATAAATATTTATTTAAAGTAACACAAAAATTAAGTTACTTGTAATGATCTGATAGATGCTTTATCTCGTTCTTCTCTCTTTATTTTTCTTCTACAAATACCTCTCTTACTAAGACATATTTTTGCCATACCCACGCTATAGATTTTACCCTACTTCTGCATGTCTGTCTTCTACGGCTTTTTTTTTGTCTAGTTTCGTGAATAGTTATTAATGTATTGGAAATAATTATGTAAAGAATGAGGACGAGGGGAAAATTAATAAAAGACTTACTACAGGAATACTGTCCCTTTAGCGTGTGAAAATTAACTGCGCCAGAGTTTATTCATATGTTGTTAGTTTACATCGTGATTGACTGTCATCCAACCAATTAAAACGTGCTACAACAGTATAAAGCACAGAATTATACTGTGCCCAGTAGTAGTAGTAGTAGTGTGATTCTAGTCATGGCTACCCAAAACATACCACGTGACAAGCGAAATACTGCGATAAGACTTGGTGTTTCAGTAGAAGTTGTTACAAGACTCTGTAGAATGTACGTGAAACTGGCACTGAAGCGATCGAAACTCATTAAAGTGATGTTAAGTATCACATGGTACGTTCTTTACAAGATACACAACGATCGAGTACAGACCTTACTGTAAGTAAAGATACGAACTTACCTCGATAATAGGTACATATTACCACCAAGTGGTCTATCTGGACATGTAGCTGCTCCAAAAACATTGTTGACAAAAGATAACCTAACAAAAAAAGGTCGAAATAAACATTAGATAACAGACAATGAGGTGAAGACCTGTGCTCCTTATACATAGATAAATCCAAGTTCAGGTTGTCTAACAGTGTAGTCTACAGTGAAGCATTGTGGGGAGGGGCAGTACAACTTTGGGGCTACGTCTCAGTCAGTGGTGCCACTGTTGATGGCACCCTGACTGCCAGTCTCTCAAGAGCACGACTCATTGGGCGGGTGATTCCAATAATACAAGTGTGTGTGAAATGATATCATCTAATCACACAACTACGTGAAATGATATCTTCCAATCGTACAATAAATGTGTGTAAAACAATGTCTTCCACTCATACAAGTGTGTGAAATGATATATTCCAATCATACAACAAGTGTGTGAAAAATATCGTCCAATCACACACACACGTGCTTGTGTGAAACGATATATCTTCCAATAATACAACAAAGGTATGTGTGACACTATCTTCCAGTTACACAAGAAGTGTGTTTGTGAAACGATATCTTTATGATAAAGAGGACGATGGAGAACTTAACCATGGCCTTGCCTATACAAATTCTTGAGGTCAAAAGGCAACCAAAGAACTTGAATGAATTGTGTGAAGTAAAAACGGAACAACGTTTCACTATTGTACGCTGATAAACTGTTTGTCAACATAAAGACAAGTTATAATGTTCTGTGTAAAACAAAGAGCTCAAATACAGAACACCACAAGCCCCCCAGTGGCACAGCGGCATGTCTGCGGACTTACAACGCTAGAAACCGGGTTTCGATACCCGTGGGGGGGGCAGAGCACAGATAGCCCTTGTGTAGCTTTGTGCATAATTAAAAACAAAACAGAACACCACCCAGTTGTCAATATTCGTTGTTTGTGACTCTTCCGAGTGACGTTCATGTTTTTATTATTATTACTTCCTTTACTGTATTCGTGTATATATGTGTGACACGACTGAACCTTATAGTAACTAACAGTAAATACACAACGGCTGTGAGATATATCTATATATTTGTTTTGTGCGATCGTCAGTGGAATTTAAACTTAATTTATGGTTAGTACTATTTGAATACAAGGTTAATTCTTTCTTTGGCCTTCTGACCAGTTGCAAATACTTAAACGTATTTCTCTTCTAAACAGCACTTCTGTCTGTCTGGTGTGAGGAACTTGGACGATTGTTACTTCTACGTCATCAGAAGACTAGAGAAGGGGACGGATTATCAAAACTTCCTCCGGGAATGCATCAATCTTTACAGAAGACCCTTCCTCCGGTTCAGGGGTAAGAATTGTTTGTTTTGTTTTGCACATTTCGCACACAGCTACTCGAGAGGAATCTGCTCTATCCGCCCCTAATTTTGAAGTTATATAGACTAGAGTTATATAGACCACCCTCCGCCAATTCTTGGGCTACTCTTTACCAACGAATAGTGGGGTAACCGACCCATTATTATGCCACCACGACTGAAAGGGCGAGCATGTTCAGAAACGGGATTCAAACCCACAGATTGCAGATTACAAGTTGAGTGTCCTAACCACCGGGCCATACCAGGACAAAGGGTAATAATAAGATAATGTATAAGGTACATTCAACAGATTTTCGTTTACGTACTCAACTGTCTCTCGAGTATGTATTCTGCTTTGTACGCTTCAATGTTATCAACTTTCTAAGTTGGTTAATTTCTGATAAAGAATGAAGAGAAAGAAGGAAAATCTGGAAAGAAAAGGCTTAATGGGTCAGGATTGGCCTGGTAGTAAGGGTGTCGGGCTGCGGACCGTTGGTGCTCAAGATTCAAACGTGATGCCGTTGATGTCGCCCTGCACTTTCAGTGATGGGTGTTTTATAAAATTAATAGCTGATCCCAGTATTTAATTCAAATTCCACAAAGATCTTGTGAAAGCGGGTGCTGCTTACAGCTCTGGTCCTTAGTGCAAACTTAAGTACGGCCACATCTGAAACCTAGAACTCTGTGACCTGACTGTTTAGCCCACATATGTATACGGTTTAACACCAATTTTTTAATTATATTTATTGTGAGTTGTTCATGTTTCTTCTAAATGGTAATTCATTTGTTTCTTTGATGTATTTTTGCAACAGCTGAATTTATCATATAAGCATTGTTTGCAGATGAGCATTCCAAGTTTTTAGACCAGCTGGCTTCCGGATACTCAATGTTTAATAGTAATGACTCGTCAAAATATTTTATTAGAAGCTCATGATCGTATAACAAGACTAGTTAACCCTAAATCTATAATTTCGATACCACTCTCCAGAAAAGAGAACTAAACTGTTTGAAGAAGTTGATCCGTTTTATAAACTGGAGTCTAGATGACAGGAGAGAAATATGAACACTAATAATTGTGGAATATCTAGAACAAACCCTTCACGAATTACTGAAGATATGAGTTGAAACAAACGCTGTTATTAGTGGCTATAAAGTGAAACTCGAAGAGGACCGCGCTCAGAAAATTAATAAGACGTATATAACTTACTAATATAAATATGCAAGTTAATGAAATTTAATCGAACATAGTATGGTTGTTACTCTTTAAGCTACAATATGGAAACTCGATCTTAACCATTGGAGATCTCTTTTGCAATGGTTACGCACCCCAAAGAGTTCTAGAACCACAGGTTAAGAACAATGGCATTAGCGAAATCGTTCAGATATATAAAAAAGAAAATATTTGTGAAACTCGTTGGTCCTTTTGTACATGGCTTTGTGGTTAGGGTGCTCGACTCGCAATTTGCGAATTGCAACTTCGAATCCCGTCACAGTACATGTTCGCCCCTTTCAGCCGTGGGGGCGGTATAAAGTGATGGTAAACCCCCACTTTCGATTATAAAGGACTAGCCCAAGAGTTGGCGGTTAGTGGTGTTGACTAGCTGTCTTCCCTCTAGTCGATCACTTCTGAATTAGGGACAGCTAGCGCAGATAGCCCTCGTGTAGCTTTGTACATGTATACACGCATAAGCATGTTAATATGTTTTAAAATTATACCAGTCTTACGAATAGGAGTGCTAAGCGTGTAATACGGCAATTTAAAACCCGTACTGCGGCTGAACTGGCAATATTTTAAAAGATGACATTTGAGGGCAAATTTAGGAAAAACAAAATTCTTTCAAGTGATACTTGTTGTAGCTATGATAGTCAGTTGTGTGTTGATAACTAATTGCAGTTGCTTTGTCCATTATAGTAATATATATATATATATAATTTTAGGCTATGTTTTCCAGGGGTTGGTATTGTTAAGTAACCAGTGGGAGGTGTGAAGTAGAGTGATGGGCGTGTCTTAATGTCCCGAATTGTCCCCAAAGTTCTAGAAAAGTACAGTATAAGACGCGAGATAAACTAGAGTAGATGATTATTGATTTTTGAGCCTTTTAGTAAGGTACATTGAGTCCGAGTTTGTTTGTTTGTTTAGTTTAATTTTGGAATAGTAAGTTCGTGTTCTCGTCGAAGTGATATAAAGTATGCCCTAAGTTGTTTAAAGTGCAAGACATTAGCAAGTAAGTGAAATTGTTGTTTTAGCATCTCCTGTGAACTTATAACTATCAGTTAAAATTAGCTAAGCTAACTTATAGTCGAAGAAATAAAGCGCTTTTGTTATTAAAGGGATTGGAGATTTGCATTCTTTTTTTTTACCGAATAATAACAAAGAACCCGGTCAACAATAGAGACCGTAACAAAAATAATTAATTTTTGATATTCGAGTTAGGCCTGCATGGGATCGAACTGGCCTTGTCATGATGGTTAAAAAACAAGAATTTGTTGCGCTACCCATTAGAAATGTATTTTAAAGTCGTAGTTAAAGTTAGGCATGCATGGGATCGAACTGGCCTTGTCATGATGGTTAAAAAACAAGAATTTGTTGCGCTACCCATTAGAAATGTATCTTAAAGACGTAGTAAAAGTTAGGCCTGCATGGGATCGAACTGGCCTTGTCATGTTAGTTAAAAAACAAAAATTTGTTGCGCTACCCATTAGAAATGTATCTTAAAGACGTAGTAAAAGTTGGGCCTGCATGGGATCGAACTGGCCTTGTCATGATAGTTAAAAACAAGAATTTGTTGCGCTACTCATTAGAAATGTATCTTAAAGTCGTAGTAAAAGTTAGGCCTGCATGGGATCGAACTGGCCTTGTCATGATGGTTAAAAACAAGAATTTGATGCGCTACCCATTAGAAATGTATCTTAAAGTCGTAGTAAAAGTAAACATGGTGTATAAAGTTTGTACGTAATATATACGTCATAACGGAGGGCTATTACTAAGTTGTTTAGGTTGATATTTGCCTAATATATCTTTAGTTAGTTTTATTTGTAACATCTATCACTCTTGCATATTCTTAATACTTTTAGATTATCTTTCACTATTAGTTCTATTTAGAAACTGATTTCTGTACAGCGGTAAAAAAGAAGGGGGGAAAAAGTGAATTTAACAGTGGCGCCATCTAGTGATTGTTATCGTCTCCAACAAAAGACATATTCCAGTAGTTTGTACATTATGAATCTAATTTGCTTGTTTAATACTTTTTATTAGGGCTTCCGGACTTTTAAGTAATGATCTTAGGCCAAGATTGTTATATATTCACTCACATTTCTTGAAAAAACATTATGAAGTAGCATATAGAGAATCTTGGCCTGAGAATTTCTTTCTTAGACTTATCAAAACGCGAGTTTAAGTATAAGCAAACAAGTCTTACGCCGTAAGTATTTGATGTGTGACTTATTGCGATCTTTGGTCAAAAGCGTTTCCAGCAGCACATGATACTGATAAAAGTTAAGACGTTTCGTGGTAGATTTGTGTGAATGAGAACAGAGGAGGAAGTAGAACGGGCGCAGGAAGTTGTGAAACACCCGTGTGAACATATGTCCTGTAGGCCTAGGTGACCTTTCAGGTTCTAACTTGGGATTGCGAAAACTGCCCAGTTCTATTGATAAGCTGTCTAGTTACACGTGCCTTCAAGCAAACTAAAATGGCACATTCTCTTGAAAATAGTAATTTTGTTGTCAATAAGTGACTTTTCACAAATTGTTGCATACTTGGATCTGTCAGTAATTTGAAGTGTCGGAAACACTCACTCTCGCGAAAACACAGGAAATAGCTTTTATATTACACTAATAAAGAGTGTCTACCTATTCTTTACAGCTTAATGCCTCTTGTCTATGAAACGTGCAATCTGTTATTCGAATTACTGTTGTTGTTTTTCTAAATCTTTTATAGAGGCCGCTCGTGTGATGTCGTGTCTTTATGTTAACCTTTAAAGGTAAAATCCATTCTTTATATATCAGAGATAATAGTATTTTCCTTTAAAACTTCATGTTTTACGTATGAGTCATGTTTCTATAAAAATTCAGTTTTGCTTAAAGTACTGACTATGATGGTTGAATGCCTGGTTTTCATTACTTATTACTTTATTTTATTTCGTGATTCTACCTTTTCATGAGATATGTCCAGTCAGTCGAACGGCTAGTTCCTTATTGGCTAGTTCAATTATTTTATGTTATTTAATAATAGTGTTTACGGTGATTAGCTTTTTTCTTTACACCAAAATTTCTACACTTGACTTTCTGGAGTTGCATTGTTTCATACCCTCCACCAATTAGATATCGCGCGACCTGACGGAGTCGGGCCGTACCATAACTATGTTGCTCGCATACCAGGTCGTTAACTTGATAATCACGCGCGATTCCGACTTATCGTGGAACCGAAGCATTAACTCCTTTCTACCCCTTTGTTTTTCACCATGAATCATTCCAACATAGAGGTTTATCTGACCACCAAGGGTGATTTTAAAATCTCGTGTCATTCCAGTTGTTTTATTGTGAGGTAAATATATCGTCTTTTGTAATTTATTGATTCGCTGATCAAGCCGGGCAATGACAAAGACTATGAGATACAACAGTTGATCTGTTTATTCTCGTGCCCAATTACCGGCTATGGGTGCGTTATAAGAGTGACGGTCAAATCCAACTATTCGATCTTTGTCCTGATATAAGTAGCCCTTGTGTAGCTTTGCGTGAAATCCAACAAAACAAATTATTTATCCTCTAACCGCCTCTCCCCGTTGGGTCAGCGGCAATTTTAGAATTACAAAGCTAAAGTCCGGGGTTTGATTCCTCGCGGTGGACAGAGCTCAGAAAGCCCATATTGTGACATTATGCCAAACAATGGTGGAATGGGCAACAACTGCCCAGTTCAGAGCGACACTTCTAAGAGAAAGTCTTGAAGGACTAATCTACAAAAGTAGCTCAGGTAGAGAGGGCGCTGCCTTTCATC